GTCACCCAGACTGGAGTGCAGTGGCTGCTCCCGGCCACCACAGCCTTGACCTGCTGGGCTCCGGCGATCCTTCCGCCTCAGCCTTCCAAGTAGCTGGAACTACAGGCACGCGCTACCATACCTGGCTAATTTTTGGATTTATATTGTAGAGATGAGGTCTCACCAAGTTGCCCAGGGGGTCTTGAACCCGCGGGCTCAGGCAATCCACTCACCTCAGCCTCCCAAGGCACGGGATTACATGCTGAGCCACAGAGCCTGGCTACCGCTACTTTTTAAGATAGCCTTGGTGTCATGGTCTCTCTGTTTTTCCCACAACAGGCCCGAGTTTTAGAAACATGTTGGTCAACTGAATGCATACAGCGCAAGACGATCTCACACATCCAATATGTGTCTGAATGCCTCACATGTGCCAAGCTTGGCAGAAAAATCTCACTTTTGTTCCAGTTCACTCATTCACTAAACGTTTACCACAAATTACCATGTGCCTGTGCCAGGCACCAACCTAGGCATAGGGATGCAGCAAAGAACAACGCAAAGTCCTTGCTCTCATTTGAGTGGACAGTGACGTAAACAAGTCTAGAAAAATAAAGCCAGGTCACAGGATGGAGGCCAAAGAACTGGGGAGGAAGAGGACATGTGCTTTGGTGGGGAGATCAGTGAGGACTGCTCCAGTAAGTGACCAGCTGAGGCCTGAGGAGACCGGGAGTAAGCCAAGGAGACCACTAGGAAAAGAACATTCCAGACAAGGGTATCTTGGTGTGCAACGTACTGTGGGTCACACGGATAGATAGCATTCCACACTTGCCCATAGTCCAGTAGGAAAGCCCTTCAGCACAAAAGTAACTGGCTAAGGTAGCACGCAAAGCTCGAGGCCAGCACAAAGGAGGGAAACACAACTTTTCATCTGGGAACTGGGAAGGGGGCCAGACGGATTTGGAAGGTGTACACAGAGGAGAATGCACTCTAAGAGAACAGCAGAGGCACAATAGGGGCACTGGGCTGGAAGTGTTGAATGACTGCTGTTTGAAGGAATAAACAGCATGGTGGTTCATGCCTGTAATCCTAGCACTTTGGGAGGCCAAGGTGGGAGGATCCCTCAAGCCCAGGAGTTCGAGACCAGCCTGAGCAACACGGTGAGACCTCTCTACAATAAAAAAAATTAGCCAAGCGTGGTGGCACATGCCTGTAGTGCCAGCTACTGGTGAGGCTGAGGTGGAAGGATTGCCTGAGCTCAGGAGGTTGAGGCTGCAGTGAACTATGATCTTGCCACTATACTCTGGGCAACAGAGTGAGACCCCAACTCAAAATAATCAATTAAATAATTTTTTTAAATTTTGAAAAGAAATATTGGAAGAGCTATACACAGAAGCTTGATATCACTGAAGGACAGAGCCAGAGTCAATGTATACAAATGTCAGGGAGCAGATGCTCAGTCAATAGGAGATCAAACTTTTTAACCAGAAGTAGTTATCCCAAAGTGGGCTGGGCTGTGTGGTGGGGAGTGAACTCCCATCTTTGGCTGGACCAGGGGACTCCTCAGGCCCTCCTGGCGCTCAGGTTTAATGGAGAGCCATCTTACCAGCACGTGCCTTTGGTATCGTCTCACCTAAGGATGGAGGATCCCCCTGGGGATGGGCCTAGTTTAGGATCTGTCAAGATCCACATTCTCATACCATAGCTCACTGTAGAGCATACTATAGCTCACTGTAGAGCTGCCACGGTCCTTCGGTCTGGAAATTTATCTGGCTTGTACTTGCTTTAGTTTCCTCAATTACACAGCCATTGCAACAATCTCTCAAACCCTTCCCCCACCAAACACACACAAACTCCCTCCCCACCAGCCTAAAGAAGAGTGAGAGGTATCCTCCTCTGTGTAAGTATCAGCCTGACAAAGGAAACTCCTGAACTACGGTCTTCATCTTTGGTTCCTGAGACAACCAGCCCCATTCCAGCGGCTCCAGTGCGTCCTGGTCATTCCCTGCCTTCCCCGGGGCCCCCAGTGGCATCGCCAATGTGCCGATCCCTTTCTTCACAAGCCTTCCCTAAGCCCACAGCCCAGACTGGCAGAATGAGGCTCTGTGCAAGAGTAGGGAAGGGCCAGGGTGATGAGAAATGGTGAAAATGTAGCATGGTGTGTACAGGGAAGGGTTCTGGGGACAGACAGGGGCCACGGGTGTGCTCTCTGTCCTCAAAGACCCTTCAGAAACGAATACACAATTACATCCCACACTGAGAGCACCCTCCTTTAAAGGCTCCTCGGGGCCTGCTTTTTGTTTGTGCCATGAAGCTTGCTCAAGGTTCCCCACTAATTCGAGCCAGCCTCGTTGTCAAGGCTGCATTTTGGCACGGGCGAGAGCACTCTTTAAGGACAGTACTTAAGAGCTCTCAGAAAGCAATTTTCTCCACCCAAGAACGTCCAGGGAAATAAGGCATGAGAAGCCCATGGCCTGATTTTTAAGGAAGTGCCCTCCACCATACATGCACAGACCTGGGCACGGAGGTTTAAGCTTTGAGAATACCCCTCTCTCCCTCCCTGGGCTGTTCACCACCTTCCTCCTTGCTGCTAGGCCCCATTGCTACGAGGAAGGAGACTGGCTGAGAAAGACCGGAGCATTGGCAGAGGTGGCCTGAATTCTGGGCCACGCCCCAAGGGGCAGGGCAGGTGGGGGAGACCACGCCCCCAGCTTCAGTCCCAACCCTGTGCCTGCACCCCACCTGCTGTTCAGGTGGTCCTGGTACTGCTTCACTTCCCCGCTGCGTGGGTGGCCGCTTTCCACCAGGCTGTTGGCAGCGAGGTTCACACCCTCGATCTGGGCCATCAGCGTCTTCATCTCCTGGTCCAGGATGTCGAACCTGAGGTGGACAGAGGACAACGAGGCTCGGCAAGGGAGCTGAGAAACTACTTCGCCAGGGGCCCCTGTCACCCCGCATATGTAACTCCTGCTTTCTCCTTCCACCACCTGAACCATCTGCCCCAGAGAGGGGGAGAAAGGAGACAGACATGTCAGCACCCTCCTCTTTTCCGGCTCATGGGTCTCATTTCATGGGTTAGCATCGCCAGGACCAGGCCAGGGGAGAGCTGGTCACTTCCTACCAGACTTCTGGCTCCACAGAGAAGTGTGAAGGGGAGGGAGAGCTGAAGAGGGGTTATATGGTGGGGGGAGGGGAATCAATTGCCACGGGGACCACCCACTCGCCTCCCTGTCTGCTCTTGGACACTGATTCCATGCTCTGACACCTTGACCCAAAGGGCGCTCTCCAAAGTTAGGTGCCCCATTTGTGAATGGGATGAGGGGGAGCTGCTAAGGATGGGGAGTTTTGGGGTTCAGCAGCCAACCCTGCTGGGACAAAGCCCGGAGCTCTCCAGCATCAGGGCGGGACCACATTGGCGCTGCTCAGGGAGCGGCCTCTCTGCCTCCTTGACTGCCTGACGCTGAGACGCTGCACAGACCGGGGTGACCAGAACACCGGGGGTGACAGCGGCCTTGCAGACTGGGGGTTTACAGACTGGTCTCTGGGGCCCCATGGAGTCCTGTGGCTCAGGGACTGCTGCAGAAAGCTAGAGCTGGTGGGGTCCTGTGGCGGGGTCGCAGCCCCCTTGTCCAGGGTAGTGCCCCTCTGCCGATGTGTTACAAGGAGGCTCCGTATGCTGTTCATCCGAGCGGCTGCTGGAAAGTAACTGAACACCTGGACTAGGAAAGTTCCTTTTGCTTGAGGAGCCCCAAGGGCCCAGTGGATGGAGCATTCAAGGCCACAGAGCCAGAACAGAACCCGTGACTCCCGAAGCCTGGACTTCACAGCAAGGGACATCCCAGGGCCTCTCAAAGAGACCCTTGCTGACCTGGAGGCTGTCACCAAACCAGGCAGGGCTGGCGCCTGGACCTTGGCAGGGGGACACGAAGAAAAGACGGGCCAGCTCTGACCTGTGCTGCACGACCTCCAGGTCCTCCAGGGTGTCTGGGATGTCCATCTGGGCCAGCCATTTCTCCTTCTCGCCCATCCACAGCTCACAGGCGTCCGTCTCCCCGAACACCGTGTACAGGTCCAGTGCATCCTGCAGCCTCTGCCGACGCAGGTCTGCCTGTGTCACCACCTGCTGGTAGAGCTCCCGCAGGGCCTGCAGCCGGTTGGTCACGTCCGGGGAGTCCCGGAACTCCTGGGGGAAGTCGTGGGCCTGCCGCTCCAGGTGCTCCATGGCCCCGCGGCTCTCCTCCAGCTCCTCCAGGAAGTCCTTGTGCTTCTTCCCCAGGGCCCGCGTGGCACCCTCGTCCTGCCCCACGTCTTCCCCTGAGAGCAGCCGGTGGGCATCTTGCAGCCAGGCCTTCAGGTCGTCTGCGTCGCCCTGGAACTGGAAGAAGTTCTCGGCGTCCTGGAGGTTCTTCTTGCGGAAGGCGGCCAGCTCCTTCAGCTGGTCCCACTGGGCCGACACCTCCTTGATGCGGGCCTCGATCTGCGGGTGCCCGAACTGCTTGCGCGCCACCATGCCCTCAGCCTCCCGGAAGATCTGCTCCAGGTGGGCGTCCAGCCCGCGCAGCTCGTCCTCAAAGGCCTTGTGCTTGCGCTGCAGGATGAGCACGCTGGTCAGGTCCTTGCCGTAGTCCAGGGAGGAGTAGATCTGCTCCTTCTCCTTGATCCAGCTCTCGGCCTCGTCCATCTCCCAGAAGAACTTCCAGAGTCGCTTGGACTGCTCCAGCTGGGCCTTGCGTCCAGCCGCCATGTTGCTCAGTTCTGCAAAGCACTGCTCCAGATGGCTGATGCGGTCCTGGATGACCTGGGGGTCACAAGGCTGGTACCCTGGAGGAAGAGGAGGAGGGAGGACAGAGGGGGGAAAGGCTTCATCGATGGGCAAGCTTCAGGTCAGGTGCCAGGTTAGAACTACAGTCTAAAGGCTCCCATCGCACTGGGGCCTTGGGATTGGACGCAGAGGGTCCCCGTTGCTCAGAGGGCAGGCCAGAGTCTTTAGAATTGGTTCCCACTAAACCTCAGAAATAAGAAAGATTAAAAGCGGGGTCAGTTCTCACAGAAATGTACAATGGTAAAGTATTATCATCATCATTATTATTGACAAGTTCTTGCTCTTGCTGTCCAGGTTGGTGGCGTGATCATGGCTCACTGCAGCCTCAAACTCCTGGGCTCAAGTGATCCTCCTACCTCAGCCTCCCAAGTAGCTGGGACTACAGCTGTGTACCACTGTGCTCAACTAATTTAAAAATTTTTAGTTTTGTAGAGTCAGGGCCTAGCGATGCTGCCCAGGCCAGCCTCAAACTCTTGGCCTCAAGCAATCCTCCCACCTCAGCCTCCAAAAGTGCTGAGAGGACAGGTATGAGCCACTGTGCCTGGCATGAAATGATTAAAAAATAAAAGCTAGCCGGGCTCGGTGGCTCAGCCTGTAATCCCGCGCCTTTATGAGGCTGATGTGAGTGGATTGCCTGAGCCCGCGGGTTCGAGACCCGCCTGGGCAGCGAGACTCATCTCTACAATAAATAAAAAAATCAGCCGGGCGTGGTAGCGCATGCCTGTAACTCCGGCTACTTGGAAGACTGAGGTGGAAGGATCGCTGGAGGCCAGCAGGTCGAGGCTGCGGTGGCCGGAAGCGGCCACTGCACTCCAGTCTGGGCAATAGAGTGAGACTCCAACTCAAAAAATAAAATAAAATAAAATAAAAATAAACAAATAAAAGCTAGGTATATAAATTTCATGGTGCTTCTTCAAGGGGGCAGTGAGGTCTCCTATTCAAGATCAGAAAGTAGAACCCTAAATCATCTCAGCCATAATCTGAACTAGCAAGGGGAATGAAAGACGGAGGATGCCTCACTGGTGGTTACAGGTTACCAAGGCAGTTGCCTGCTTCCTGGAGAGTTCTAGTCCTCGTGCCTCTTTCTTGGAGCATTACTGGATGAAAGCAGCAGAATTCTAAAGGTAGTTCCAGGAGGTTTATCCAAGATTGGGTGCCAGACCAGGGGAAGGGGCTCTGGCATCAGAGGGCTCAACAGGGGAGACGCCCTTGGCCTTACCTTTCCCCTCAGTGAACTGCTGCGTGGCCTTGGTGATGGCCTTCACTTTGTCCCCTTGGATGGCGATGTCAGCCTCCATCAACTTGTGCTTCTGGAGCAAGTCCTCGACCTCCAACAAGTGCTTCCCAAACTCGGCAGACAAGATGTGAGCCTGGCAAAGAGGACAGGGGACGGGAACCACGAGAGGTGAAGGGACCTTTGCATGAGGCGAGGAGACCCCTGAAATGGGTATGTCTTTGGCATCCGAGCCAGGGCGGGTTGGATGCAGATGGAAGACGGTTGCTGCTTAGGATGGAAGAAGCTGAGGAGCAGGAGGGCCTATGGGGGGCAGGGGTGCCTCAGCATCACCCAGGCTCAGTCTCATCCACCACACCTGTGCAAGGTTGGGGTCTGGGACGTGTATTTTTAGAAAGTCCCAGGGACGGTCTGATGTGCAACCTGGGTGGAGACCCACTGCAGCAGAGGGAGAGGGGAATTCAGACTTCTTAGCTTGCCCCTCTGCTGGGAAGTCTAGATTTTTATTTTTATTATTTTTTTTGGGGGGGGAGATTTGGATTCTAACTAGACTCAAATTGTAATTCCTCAGAGCCTGATGTTCCAGGATCCTGATTTGTGTCTTTCTTCCAGGTCCTGCTGGTTGGCCCCTTGGTCATCGGGGATACCATGGACTGGGGCTGGTATCACCTGCCTGGAACAGAGTGAGCCCAGCAGCAGACAGGCAGATGCAGCCAGACACTGTGCTACTTCAGTTTCTTTTTTTTTTTTTTTTTGAGTCAGGGTCTCACTCTGTCACCCAGACTGGAGTACAGTGGCACCATCACAGCTCACTGCAGCCTTGACCTCCTGGACTCAGGAAATTCTTCCAACTTAGCCTCCCGAGTAGCTGGGACTCAGGTATGTATCACCACACTTGGCTAATTATTTTATTTTATTTTTGTAGAGAGGAGGTCTCACTATATTGCCCAGGCTGGTCTCCATCTCCTGGGCTCAAGCAATCCTCCTGCCTTGGCTTCCCAAAGTGCTGGAATTACAGGCATGAGCTACGATAGGTGTGAGCTACCTGACCTGGCCAGTTTATTCATTTTGACACATCCACTAAGGTGGACATCCCAGGGTGTGGGGAGTGGGTGCCCCAGGGCCCACCTTGATCTCATCCATCCAGTCGATGCTGTGCAGCATGTCCTGGAAGAGCTTCTGCAGTGCCAGGGTGGTCTCGAGCCTCTGGCGCCGCGCCCGCAGCAGCTCCTGCAGGTAGGCCCACAGGCGCAGGATGTTGTCCTTGCGGGCCGTGATGCGCTTCTGGTCATGGTAGTTCTCCTTCTCCAGCTCCTGTGCCAGGTCCTCCAGGGCCCGCACCCGCTCCTCGTAGGCAGCCGTGTCGGTCTCGATGGCCTCGTGCTTCTTCTTGGCGGCCTCCACGGCTGCCAAGTCATATCCGAAGTTATCCTGCCCCGCGGGGAGGAAGACAGGTGACTCAGGGGGACTCCCTCCCTCGCCCCGGGCAAATCCCCAAGTGCGGGGAGGAGTCAGGCACTCCCCCTCCCAGGGCTGGAGGGGAAAGCCCCATCCCACACAGGGGCTGTCTGGCCTTCATTTTGCAACTCCTTCTCAGAGCCAACTTCCAAAAATTAACATCTCACAGGAGCCTCTGAGAGAGACTTGTAGTGTCACTCCCTGTGCCGCATGTGGGGGTGGCACTCGCTGCCCGCATGTTCTAACAGAGCCTTGGGTGGCCTGTGGGCACCTCCCCCTCCCCTCCTCAAGGGGACCTGTCTGATACTGGACAGGAAGGAGCTGAAAGCACACAGCTGCCACCAGATGGTTGACCCATGTGCTCTCTGGCTGCACGTACACTCTCCAGTGCTCCCAGAACACTCGCTGCCCCTTTTCTGGACGGAATCTAATTTCATCCCAAGCTTTAAGTGGGAGGAACAAATGCTCTGGTGGAGAATCAGCCCTAGGGTCAATTCTTAGCTAGTGAAATGTGTCACAGCCCCCGGGGGCGGAGTCCAAAAGGCACGTGTGACACAAGCAAGATGCTGTCCCTGATTTTACCATCTCCCTGGAGAACTGTGATTGAACATCGAGTCAACCCCAGCCCTCATAAGACCACATCAAGGGTTAGCTCTGGACTAGGAGATCCTTGCTAAACACGAGCTCGTACATCTTGGAGAACACTTTCTCGGAGGCATGTCTTGACTCCTGATCAGGGAAGCTGGGCCTCCACAGGGCACGTGCAGAGGCTGTAAGAAGCCAGCTCTGGCCCAGCCCCACCAGGAGCCCGGAACTCTGAATGGTGTCCCATCTCTGGCTGCCCCGAGAGCACCCATTACCTGGGCCACAAGGCGCTGGTTCTCGTTGAGCCACGTCTCTCTCATGGCGGCCTTCCGGTCAAAGCGCCGGGCCAGCTGCTCCAGCTTCTCTTGCCGGATGAGCTCATTCCTCAGGGCCAGCTCCCGCCGGTACTCAGCCTCCTCCAGGCTCTCCCAGGCCTGCATGGGGGCAGAGCGAGAGTTCTTAGGGCACAGGAGAAACCCTGGGGACTCGGGCTCTCTCTTTCACCCAACACTGAGTGCTTTCTGGCAGCTGGGTAGAGCCTGATGCTCTTAGGTGAAGTGGTGGCAGATAAAAGGTCACTAAAAGTCTTTTGGCTTCCATGTCTGGCCCAAGCAAAGCCTCAGGAAGCACTGGCCATGGCCTCCCAGTTCCCTCTTTCCCTAAGCCTGCTTCTGACTCTGGGTCTAATATGGTCTTCACCTCTCTGGGAACTCAATAAGTTCTTTTTAAAAATTTGTTGTTTTTTTTTTTGCCACCACCTATCTAACTGGATGAATTTTTATTTTATCTTATTTTTGTAGAGTGGGGTTTTACTGTGTTGTCCAGGCTGATCCTGAACCCCTGGCCTCAAGCAATCCTTCCACCTCGGCCTCCCAAAGTGATGGGATTACAGGCACGAGCCACTGTCCGGCCTCAGTAAATTATTTTTGACTAAATGGCCACCTACCTTCAACCAGAACTTCCAGGTGGTGTTAACTCCAAGCCTCTGAAATGCCATAAGGCATTTCTCTTTTGTTATAAGTAGTTTAATGTTCCCTATTCAAAGACAAACTCAAAATTCTAGAGAGGGCAGGCTATAAAGCTGGCTCTAAAAAAATGGATTCAGGGCATCTGAATAGGGGGCTGAACTGAAATGTGGTGGGTAGAGTCTGACCTCTCATAACCAGGTAACTCCCCCAAATAGCCAGCATGTGGATTATTAACACCAAAGAAGTGGCTTGGTTTAACATGGTCCAGTGACCATTCCCCACACCCCTGTTGGGAGCGCAATCAAACGGCTGGCAACATGCAATGGAAAATGCTGCTGTACCCTATTGATGTCAGATACTAGTTTTCCATCATGGGGTGTGTACACTTTCTGATTGTTGGCTCTCATCCGGGACTGGATGGTAAAAAGTAGGACTTCCAGATTCCCCTTCTCCTGAAACCTGTTGAGAAAACAGAAGTAGAGTGATATGTGTCGAGATCCCATGGCCAATTTTCTGGCTGAAGTCAATATGAAAGCTTGGCATCTCGGAGTTTGGATAAAATTTTCTTTCAAAACAGAAAAAGTAAGGAGACTATATGGGTCTACTTACTGTTAAAACATCTAGCATTCTCACCAGGGGTTTGGGTCCCTACAATATAAACCAGAGAGAACACAATAGCTACCCCAGCATTTATCATTTGCTTCCGCAGGGGGATGACCAGCTGGAATACTCCAGTAACTCCTATAAATATCAGGCTTTGCCAGTTGGTAAAAAGAAACCCTTCTCTGTCCTGCAAATGATGAGGCTTCTGACGAGCTCTCCAGTCAGTTTCACACTGAGTGAGTCCACAGCACCTCAGAGGCAGCATTCTTCACACAAGCACGCACTGCACCAAAAGCAGCTTTCACCTGAGTCCTAATGAGCTGGATCTCCTGACAAGTTCCACATGCCAGAGGCTTCCCAGAAGCAGGGAATGTTGGGCCCTGGGAGGACAGCAGGGTGTGGAGACGAGAACTAGCAGCAGGATGGATGTCTAGCACTCGGGGTCCAAGCTCCAGGTAACTGGGTCCTCCCACATTTCTGCATGTACCCAGGTGTCCCCCTGTGTCTGCGACCCTGACATGGTGGTCAAGGATCAGCTATATCCAGGGTCCCCATCTTGAGTCCAGCCTAATGGATCTCAATGCTCACAGGCACTTGTGAGGACTATGGCCCTGTGGCATGTCTTCATAGCCAGGACATAACAACTCTGGGTGCAGTGCCTGGTAGACTCAGAGGACATTGTTTGTATTAAATTTAGGACTTTTAAAAGTAGGTGAGTATCAGACCAGAAACCAGATACTTGTTTATAGTACATCCTAGACTTGGAGTCTCACCTTTCCCCATTTGAGTTGTGAATGGAGATGAGAAAAACAGAGAGAGGGCATCACCAACAAGCCAGACAACTGCTTCAGGAGACCAGGACATGCTAACAGCAGACAAGCTGGGGTATCCTGTGTGTGTGTGTTTGTGTGTGTGTCCACGCATAGTTGTGTGTGCATGGTTGTATGTATATACATGTGGCTGTGTCTGTGTGTGTGCATGATTGTGTGTGTACATGTTGCATAACTGTGTGTGTGCATGTATACATGTGCATGCACATATGTGCATATAGTTATATGTGTGCATGGTTTGTGTGTGTGCATGTGCATGCAGTTATACATGTATGCAAATGTGTGTGTGCAAGATTGTGTGTGTTGCATGCAAGGTTTGTGAGTACGCGTGCACATGTACACAGGCCCAGCACACACTGGGATGAGACAGAGGTCCCAGGTCACAGGCTAAGTGCTCCGCAGCTGAGCAGAAACAGATGGGAGAGGAAAAGAAGGATGCACTTGGTGATCTATGAGGCCACACACAGAGAGCTAGGGATGGGGAGCACAGAGGTTACTACCAGGAAGCAGGCTGGCAGTTCCGTGGGCAGACGAGAGAGGAGCATCCCAGCACAGGCTCTTCAAAGAGATGCAGAAGCCTGTGTTTCCCTCCTGCCCCTCCTCAAGGACCTGGGAGGAGTCACAGTCCTGGTTTGTGAGTTGGTTTCTCATCCAGGCTCGCTGCCTACGAGCTGACAGTCAAGAGCAGGTGACAAAGGCGCAGCTTGAACCCCCAGGACGTGCCTGGCAGACACACTTTGCAAGGCCCAGAATGTAGCTCTATCTAGTGGCGGCCAGTCCCCCACCGTGATGACCACCCTCTTGTGTGCCGGGGCCTTACTTGGGTGGCTTCTCCACAGTGCGGTAGGTGCTGAAGGCTTGCAGCTGCTGCTGGACGCCCGCCAGTGAGTTGGCAAACTTGCGGCTATTCAGGACGGTGATGGTCTGCTCGATCCAGGTGAGCAGGTCAGACGCCAGCCCGCTGTACTTCTCGATCATCTTCTCGGTCTCGATGGCATGGTCAATGACCTGCGGAACCGCTGTGTCACTCATTCTTGTCAGAAGGGCAAAGTCACCCATGCAGTCACCAAGGAGGAGCACAACCGAGGTGCCCTCCCACTTCCCAAGCTCTGCTGTGCTCTAGGTTGGGCTGGTTCCCTGAACCCAAGAGTGTCGCTGGGGCAAGAGGGATGGGCCAGAAGCAGGTGAAGCCCTTCTCCTGCACCAGCAAAAATCAGCAGGGAGCTGGCTCTGTGAGAGCTCGGGGACAGCCTCTACCCTTCATAAAAAAGTGGTAAATTTGCTGTGCCAGGATGCCAGCCACCAGGGTTTTGTTTATTTATTTGAGTCTGGGTCTCACTCTGTTGTCCAGGTTGGAGTGCTGTGGCACAATCATGGCTCACCACAGCCTCAACCTCCTGGGCTCAGGCATTCCTTCCACCTCAGTCTTTTTTTTTACTTTTTGGAGAGAGGAGGTCTCACTATGTTGCCCAGGCTGATCTCAAACTCCTGGACTCAAGCAATCCCCCTGCCTCGGCCTCCCAAAGTGCTGGGATTACAGGTGCGAGCCATCACGCCTGGAGGTTTTGTTTATTTTTAAGCATGTATGAGGAATCAAGAAATGCTAGGCTCTGTCAGCTAAACAAGTTAAACGAAGCAAAATGGGAAATGGCGCCCGCCCTCTGGGAGCCAGAGGACCAGCAGGCAAAGAATCTGGCATAAGGGTCTACATGGAGGGGTGGACTCCTGGTATACCAAGAGCACCTAAGAGGTCTACAACACAATAAACAAAGCGAATAAAAGCCTGTGGGGCTCCCATGGGAATGTTGGGAGCCATGGGCCTCCAGCTGGACACGAGACACAGAACTGAGGCTGTGGCACTTTTCAGGAAACACTGTCCACCTGCTTTTAGATTTCAGCCCTGAAGTCGTGGAGGTGGTGAAGATCAGCTTCAGAGGAGGTTGGGGGTGGTGACCTGCAAACCCCCACCACGGCAGGGGGCCCAGATGCAAAACTCCCAGGATGGAGGGGAGCTCTGGGCCTGGATGCATGTGGGTGTGGTGGGTGGAGCGAGGGCAACCCCAGCTTTAGAGCAACTCGTACCTTGCCGACGCGCTTGCCCTCCACGGCCAGGACCTTCATCTTGGAGAAGTAGTGGTAAAATGCCACCACATAGGTGATGATGGACTTCTCATCGGGGTTTTCTGTGAAGACATCTGTAAGGAGAAGGAGCATCTCAGGACCACACTGAAGCCAGAAATTGCAAGCTTTATTTCCCATTCCTCCCGCATGGAGTTCCACCCTCCACATGTGACAGCCAACGGGCACAGATGGACAAGCACGACAAAATCCATGTTAGGACCCCACATTCTGAAAACATGAAAAGAAGGGGTCCTCCAAATAGCCAGCTGGATAGAGCAGAGGAGCAGGCCTGGCTACAGCCCCTGTGCCCCACTCGCCCAGCACCCAGACCACCCTGCGGCCGGGCTCTGTCCAGCATGGCAAATGCCCCCCAAGGCTGCAGCGAGGACGGACCAGGGTGCATGGCTCACCTTCGGGGTCCAGGAGTGGGATGATGCCCAGCTGGCGCTCGGCCACGTCAAATGCGTGCTCCAGGTTATGGCGGGCGTTGGAGTCCTTCAGTTTATCAAAGTCAATCAGGTCAGGCCTGGGGGCGAAGCTGGGCTGTGAACGGGGAGTGGCCATGACATGCCCCACCACCCTGGCAGGGTACCCCCTGCACCAAGCAGACCCTGGGCAGAGGCGGAGACCCTGAACAAGAGAAGCGAAAGGAGGAGACAGGAGCAGAGGAGAGGGGTGAGCGTGTCCCCAGGCAAGGAGGTGGGGTTTAAGGGAAGCAGGGATGCCATGCGATGCTGAGGGGAAGGTGACAGTCCTGTGACCCCATGCTAAGTGCAAGGTGCCCAAATACCCCCCAGGGAGGCCATCTCGGTCAGTCCCCATGGCTTTCCCCTCCTTCTCACCGGTGTTTGTGTATCAAGGCATTGAAGGCCAGCCCATCCTTCCAGCTGGAGGTGAAGTTGGTGACATTGACATGGGGGTAGCTGCATCCAAGAGAAATGTAAGACCTAAGACATCGATTCTGTCGTGACCCCCAGCAAGCATGCGAATGGAGGGCCACCATACCAGGAGAGGATGGGCCTGTCCCCTCCCGAGTCGCTTCCTCACTCACGGGGGCAGCGGCTAAGCCACACCAAGAGGCTCCCCCACAAGAGGTGAACCCCCCACAAGATCCCACGGCCTGGCGTCAGGTGACTGTGGAAAAGACTCCTGCATTCCAGGCCTCAAAGACTTTGGTCAGGGCAGACTTCGCATCAGTGACAGGGAAGCAGCTGCCACTCTGGGTGAGGCTGTCCCGTGTCCCTGGGGGGACCGCAGTGCCTGGGGAAGCAAGGGGCTGGTGGGAACGCCACAAGGGCTGGTTCCCAGGGCATACCCTGCTGTCTTCATCTGACACCACAGCAGCAATGCATCCTTGGCTGAGCGTGTCTCACGACCTTCCTGAGTTTGGACAACAATGTCCTGAATCTGAGGGTGGCAGAACAAGAGAGATGTGGAGTTGGGTTGCGTCTGGATCTGTGCCTGCCTGCTTTCACTGGGGGGCTCCCTTCCTCTCCTGTCCTCTGCAGCCACGGGCCCTGTAGCTACGGGCCCTGGGTCCTTGAAGCCTGAGCTCCTGCCTCGGTCAACCAGAAGGGCAAGGGAATAACTTCCTCGTGTCAGACGAGATGGCTCTAATTATTTTGCTTATCATTTTTTTTGAGAGACAAGGTCCTGCTATGGTTGCCCAGGGAGGCCTCAAACTCCTGGACTCAAGTACTCCTCTCCCCTCAGCTTCCTAAAGTGCTGGGATTACAGGCATGAGCCACCACGCCTGGCCAAGAGAGCCCTAACTGGATAACTCTCATAGGTCACTGAGAACCAGCCACAAGACACCCCGATTTTTCCTCTGGAGCGACAATGCCCCGCAAGGCTGTGACAACTTGAATGTTGGAGAGTATTGCATTTTCATCAGTAGCTCTTCTTGCCCTTTCATTCTCCCCAATTCTGCTGCTATTAGGGTTCAATCTTACGTGGGGAGTGAGATCAGCCATCCAGGACCACTGGGAGGAAGCCTTTCTCTCCCCTTCCTTCCTAACTTCCTTCCATCTTTTCAGATAGGGTCTCACTCTGTCGCCCAGGCTGGAGTGCAAAGGTGTGATCATAGCTCACTACAGCTTCAAACTCCTGGGCTCAAGAGACCCTCCCGCCTCAGCCTCCCGAGTAGCTGGGATTACAGGTATGTACCACCACACCCAGCTGATTTTGTTATTTTGTAGGATGAGAGTCTCACTATGTTGCCCCGGCTGGATGAATTCTTTAGTCTACACACTGAATGCTGTCTTCTTCCTCCTGCCCTCAACTCCCTGGGCTAGGTTCTTTCTGTCTCCAAAACAGCAGGTGCAAAGTTCTGTTTTCCTTTTCTTGTTCTTTCTCAATTCCCTTATCAATAACCTACAAATAATCCAAATTTCAGGATGAGAAAAGTCTCCGCTTGGAAAATATAAAAGCAGGTCTTCTGAACTGCTTCCGCAAATATCTGAATTAAATTAGTTCAAAAGCCAAGAAGTTATCTGTGTGGGGGTAGGGGATAAAAAACCAGATCTTCCAGCCCAGTTGGCAGCTTCCAATCTAGCTACTAATTAATTTATATCTTCTCCCTCACAAGACTATATTACTGGGCTGGGTGCTGAGGCTTATGCCTATAATCCCAGCACTTTGGGAAGCAGAGGAGGGAGGAACACTCAAGACCAGCCTGAGCAACACAGTAAGACCCTCATCTCTACAAAAATAAAAAATCAGCTGTGCATGGTGGTGCACGCCTATAGCCCCAGCTCCTTGGGAGGCTGAGGCGGGAGGATCACTTAAGCTGAGAAGTTCGAGGTTACAGTGAGCTATGGTCATGCCAACATACTCTGGCTTGGGCAACACAGGAAGACCACAACTAAAAAAAAAAAAAAAAGACTGCAATACTGACTGAGCAGCTTCAGCGATTAGGGGTGGTGCAGAAGACACGTATACCTCCCAACAAGCACGAGTCCCACAGGACAAGTTTCTGGCCTTCCAGAACGTGCACTAGCCCTCACACCCTATTCATTTCCCAGACTCCCAAACCCTGCACAGCCCTGAGGGGCTCCCCCGACTCCCTCCGCCCCCAGGAGCCCACCTGGAAGCGGAGGATGATGGTCCAGATGAGGCCCAGGACCAGGCGGTGGTTGCCGTCCACAATGTCATGGGAGCCCATGTTCTCCAGGTGCACGCGCTGCTCCTTGAGGAACTGGAGGGCCTTGTCCACGTTCTCCAGGCAGTGGATGCGCATCTTCCCCTTGGTGGGCTTTGGCTGGGGGACGGCAGTGGCCCCATAGGCTTGGAGGGGCCTCACAACCACCCCAGAGGTGCCGTCACAGGCACCTACCCTCCACCCTCCCAGCCGAATTCCAAGCCCCTTGGCCGCTCTGTGACACTTCTCCACCCTATCCTTTTAACCATGTTCCCTCCCTCAGGCACCCAGAGCTGTGCAGTCAGGCTGCCTCGAAGCCCTTCTGGGTGTGGACAGAGTCCTCTGACTGACTTGTGTATCACAATCATACAACAGAGAGTTAACTGAGCACTTACTAATTGTGTATGTCAGGCCCAGTTCTAAGACCCGTTTACCGCTGGTTAGTGACAAAAGTGACTTTGAGCTTAGACTGCTAATGGGTTCACCAGCCAACCAACCTCCTCCTTCCCCCGAATGTCCCCAGCCGACACCCCAGGGGAACGCTCATGATTAACCCATCATCTGAAAGGGTCCCCACGATAGCTCCCTCTAGTGGAATTTCAGTGCAGGGTAAGAGCCAGAACTTCAGCCCAGAGTTGGAAAGACAGCAGGACAAAGTGGTGCCTTTTTACCTGACATTACCTCAGCAGGTGCAGGTATCACAGTCCCTATTTTTTTTTGAGTTGGGAGTCTCACTCCGTCGCCCAGACAGGAGTGCAGTGGCATGCTCCCAGCCACCGCAGCCTCGTCCCGCTGGGCTCCAGCGATCCACCCTCCTCAGCCTTCCAAGTAGCTGGAAGTTCAAGCGCGCGCTACCACACCCGGCTAGTTTTTTATTTATTGTAGAGATGAGGTCTCACCAAGTTGCCTGGGCAGGTCTCTAACCCACGGGCTCAGGCAATCCACTCACCTCAGCCTCCTGAAGTTCTGGGATTACAGGCTGAGCCACTGAGCCCAGCCCACAGTCCCCATTTTACACAAGGGGTGAAGAGGGTCCTGCCTGACAAACCCAAAGTTTCTTTTATCTGCTTCTTCAAGGCAGCAGAACTACCAGGCAGGTTATAACCGGGGTGCCTTGGATAAGTTTCCACTCACCAGGGTAGTAAAACACATGAAAACAGCCTCCAGGCTGGGCTCAGTGGCTCAGTCTGTAATCCTAGCACTTTGGGAGGTCGAGGGGAGTGGATGGCCTGAGCCCGCAGGTTCGAGATCAGCCCAGGCAACTTGGCAAGACCTTGTCTCTACAATACATCAAAAATTAGCCAGGCAAGGGAGTGCGCACCTGTAGTTCTGACTACTTGGAAGGTTGAGGTGGAAGGATCACTAGAGCCCAGCAGGTTGACACTGGGGTGGCTGTGAGCGTGTCACTGTGCACCAGCCTGGGCAATGGAATGAGACTCCAACTCAAAAAAAAAAACAAAAAACCTGCCTCCACACTTTCCTCTCGGTTCCAAGAGGGGTGCGCCTTAGCTCAAGGGAGGGGCTGGGGGGCCAGACCATCACAGCCGGCTGCAGACCCCCGCATGGAAGTCAAGAGCTCTGTGTGGTTCCTGGGAGAAACATGAAGGGGAGGGTGTGGTCGGAGGAGGCTGGGAGGTCTGGGAAGAGGCCAGAGAATCCAGTCAGCCACGTGCGCTTGTCCCACTGTAAGTAGTGGGACCTCCCAAAGGAGCAGGGAAGAAACCCTGGAAAGCCATGAGAACGCAAGATACCCCCAGGGCACGAAGGGGGCTGACGGTGGGCACAGCCACAGGGTCCAGGGAGGGGGCCACGACACCAACAGGGCCTCACCAGCATCTCCCCAGAGAGCACCTCCAGCAGCTTGATGAGCATGCGGCCATCCCGCAGGTCCTTGTAGAGGTCGGTGATGCGGCAGGACACACGTGCCAGGTGTGAGTTCACCCATTTCGTGAAGGTCTTTTTCTGAACCACTTCGCGCTCATCTGGGTGGGGAGGAGAGCCACGTGTGAGGTGGGTGGGGTCAGCGTGACCTGGGGCCAAGGGGTCTCACCTTCCTTCCAGGCACCCGCAACACCTGATGGAGGAGGTCAGTGTAGTCACACCACCCCCTCCTGGGGGCATCTGCGACCAGAGCATAGCCTGGCAGTAACATGAGTCCACATGCCACAAGAAGGAGGCAATGAGGACATCACTCCCACTGCCACCACGTTCTAGGCACAGTCTCAGGACACCCTCTTTCTGCCATCTGTTTCCCTGTACCCATCGGAATACTCTGTACTGTTGTGTCATCGAACTTGGATTTCAATGCCAGGTTCACCCATCCCTCCATCCATCCATCCACCCATTGAACAAATATTCTCTCTGCCTAGAGTACTCTCTCTCGGCCCCTCCGCTCTGCCACCCTGCTTCACCTAACTCCTATTCATTCTTTCAGAGTCAGGGTTGGCCGGGCTCGGCTCATGTCTGTAACCCCAGCACTTTGGGAGGTCAAGGTGGGAGGATCACTTGAAGCCAGGAGTTGGAAACCAGCCTGGGCAACCAAGTGAGACCCCCATCTCTGCAAAGGTTTTTTAATAAGATGTAGCTGGGCATGGTGGTGTATGCCTGTAGTTCCAGCAACTCAGGAGGCTGAGATAGGATCACGCAAGCCCTGGAGCTGGAGGCTGTAGTGAGCTACGATCACGCCACAGCACTCCAGGCTGGGTAACAGAGTGAGACCTTATCTCTAAAATAAGAGAGAGAGGCCCGGTGCTGTGGCTCACATCTGTAATCCCAGCACTTTGGGAGGCTGAAGTGGAAGGACTGCTTGGGCCCAAAAGTTCTGAGACCAAACTGGGCAACATAGCGAGACTTTGTCCCTAAAAAAAATTTAAAAATCAGCCAGGTGTGGTAGCATATGCATTTAGTCCCTGCTACTCGGGAGGCTGAGGAGGGAGGATTGCCTGAGCCCAGGAAGTTGAGTCTGCGGTGAGCCATGATTGTGCCACTGCACTCTAACCTGGGCAACAGAGTGAGACCCTCAACTCAAAAAAAAAAGAGAGAGAAAGAGAATCAGAATAAAGCGTGCTTCTCAGAAGAGCTTTTCCCAACCCCTTTGCCTGAAATGGGTCTCCCTAGAGCTCCCTGACCCCTGCATTTGCATTTTCAAGTATTAGTGGAAGGTATGTCCCTCCTGCAAGACTGGAGGCTCCTTGAGTCCAGTGGAGTCTGTCCTGGTCAGGGCCTGGGGTCTGGCATACAGTCGGTGCCCCAGAGCTGTATCACAGCCACTGCACAAATATGGGTTCAGTTCCCACCACGTGGCAGGCCTGTGCTGTCCCTCAGGAACACAAGGATAAGACAAACTGCCTGCCATCACGGAGTCCCTGGGCGGGGGGAAGAGAGTGAGGATAAGTGGAATGTGTGGTCTGCGTGGGGCCAGGGACAAGGACTTCTTGGGTGGGGGACTATCCATTGCATGACACTGTCTTTTTCACCCCCACAGTGGCAGGAGGAGTTCTCGATCTTCAGCCCTGGGAAGGTGGCATGACGTTCCCCAATTAGCATCCCCCAAAACAAACTCCTGGCCCAAGCGGGGAACTTCTTAGCACCCCTGTACAAATAATGCTGGTGGCCTGCCCGGGCCGGGGCAGGGGTTGCTTGGGCAAGATGCCGGAGAGAGGACAGAAGACTGGGACAGCATCAAAAAGGGGGAGAATAGGGGTGAGGAGAAGGAGAAAGAGAGAAGTGTGTGGGGTGCGGTGGCTCACACCTGTAATTCCAGTTTTCAGTCCTCTCTCCAACATCTTGTCCAAGCAACCCCTCCCGGGCTGTACAGGCCACCAGCTTTATTTGTACAAGGTTCTAAGAAGTTCCCACTTGGGCCAGGGGTTTGGTTTGTGATGCTGATTTGAGGGGTGTCATGACACCTTCCCAGCACTATGGGAGCCCAAGGCGAGAGGATTACTTGAGCCCAGAAGTTCAAGACAAGCCTGGGCTGCATAGCAAGGCCCTGTCATTACAAAAAAATAAAATAAGAAATAAGGTTGCACACAGTGGCTCACACCTGTAATCCCAGCACTTTGGGAGGCTGAGGAGGGAGGAGAGCTTGAGCCTAGGAGTTTGAGACCAGCCTGGGCATCATAGTGAGACCTGGTCTCTACAAGAATAAAACATAGCCAAGCCAGGCTCGGTGGCTCAGCCTGTAATCCCGCGCCTTTGGGAGGCTGAGGCGAGTGGATTGCCTGAGCCTGCGGGTTCGAGACCCACCTGGGCAACTTGACGAGACCTCATCTCCACAAGAAATCAAAAAAAATTAGCCGGGTGTGGTAGCACGTGCTTGTAGTTCCAGCTACTTGGAAGGCTGAGGTGGAAGGATCGCCGGAGCCCAGCAGGTTCAGGCTGCTGTGGCCGGGAGCGGCCACTGCACTCCAGTCTGGGCAACAGAGTGAGACTCCAACTCAAAAAAAAAAAAAAATACCCAGGTGTGGTGGTGTGCACCTGTAGTCCCAGCCACTTGGGAGGCTGAGGTGGAAGGATCGCCTGAGCCCAGGAGATCAAGGCTGCGGTAGCCGTGATCGTGCCACTGCACTCCAGCCTGGGTGACAGAGTGAGACCCTGACTTGTAAAATAATATAAGATAAAATAAAGAGAGAAACGTAGCAGAAAAGAAGAAAAAGAAACAAGGTAGAAACAAAGGAAGAGAAGAGAGAGGAGGGAGTGAGCCCTCACTTCAATTTTGGGAGCAGTCTATGGCAACGGGCTTTGGGCACTTGGGTTTAAAGATTCAGGGCAGGAGCTGACCTGGCAGTGAGGCCGCTCCTGGAGGCCTAGGGCTCCCTAGGGAGGGTGTGAGGCAGGGCAGGTGGCAGCCAGGGTGTGCTCCGAGTGGCCCGATTGGGAGGGCTGTCCACGCCACGAGAGCAGGCTACGTGTGTGCTTGGCTGAGCCCAACCGTGGAAGGGCTGGCTTTTAAATTATTAAATGTGTGATTCAACAACAGCAAAGAGAAGCCCAGCCCGCTCTACCTCAAGGGTATAACCCTGGCAGTTCCTGAGGCTCTCAGCCTCCAGGCCTTCCTACCTAGTGCTAGGAACTCAGATATTTTGTCTTCTGGTTGTTCGTTCAGCAAATGTTTACCATCTGACCATCAGGTGCCAGGCCCTGGGTGGGGGTGGGGAATTCAAGGAAGGACAGACAGTCCCTATCCCTGGAGCAACAGACTCCACTGTAAATATGATGAGAGGTCAGGCGCTGTGGCTCACACCTGTCATCCCAGCACTTTGGGAGGCTGAGGCAGGAGGATTGCCTGAACCCAGGAGTTTGAGACCATCCTGGGAAACATATTGAGACCCTGTCACAACAAAAAAAATAAGCCGGGTGTGGTGGCGCACGCCTGTAGTCCCAGCTACTTGGGAGGCTGAGGCAGGAGGATGGTCTGAGCCCAGGAGGTCAGGGCTGCAGAGATCCATGAGTAAAAAATAAAATAAATAAATAAACATGACAAGGGTTCAAGTTGCATATGAAGAATTCCACGGCAGATATCTAAGAAGGCTTCCAAGAAGAGGAAAATTACTACTACCGACTATATGAGTCTTAAATAATTATACGTTGAAAACAGCATTCATCAATTCTGGGCCTCTGGGCAAAATTCGGGGAAAAAGCTTCCCCTGCCCTTTTGTCAGCAGCAAATTAAACCTCTTTCCTGCTTTGCTTCAGCAAAACGGAACTTAAGGTTTGATGACATACTGGACGGAAAGCAACTCAACTGCATTTATTCTGGGACGTATTTAGGTTTGACAGAGCCAGCCACAGTCCCGCGGTGCCATCCTTAGGAACCGGGTCTGTTCTGTCAGTGCCTAACCTTTCACAGCAGATGTGGAGTCTCTGACTAAGAGGCTGAAACATTTAGCCCTTTTTAGAAGTAAGTGTCCCTGAAAGCTAAAGTCCTTCCTTCCTTCCTCCTTCTCCTGTCTTTAAGAATTCAAAATGCCATGATGTGGGTGCTGAGACCTGTTTACTTGTGCTTGGCAAAGGATAAGAAAGTGCTTCTGGCCCAGGACCGGAATTTAATTCTAGGCCACCAGGCTGGCACACGGATTGGTGCGGAAGTGCCATAAAGCACGCTTAGACCTCCCCGGTTTTCAACACACGAATGATGCCTCTGGGACCCCAAACGCTGGAGCTGGAGGTTTAGGATACAGGCAGGGGGCCTCCTGGCTGTCTTCTGCTTGAAGACTGGGGCAAAATCACCCAGAATCCTCAGCACCCTGAAACACCGCAGCGTTGAGACATTCCGAGAGACTAATGACGATCAGAAGCGGAGGAAAGGCCCAGGGCTGGGGATTAGTTTCCATTAGCTCATTCGCTCCGGCTGATCCACAGCGCCATGCTCAGCACATTCGAGCTCACAAGCACATCCGCTCCGACATGGCCCACATGCTCACCCGGAGCCCTCCCGGAGGGGCGAGCGACCTGGAGCCAGCAGAGCTGGGAACCCTAGCAGTGTGGACAGGCGGAGAGGTGGCTGTGCACCGAGCCTGCTGTCCCCAGGGGACCCAGGCCATCCTGCAGGGACCCGCTGGGGGAAGGAGACCTCAGAGAGGCACTGCCAGGAGCCAGGCCTCACTTCCAGAGTCCTAACTCTGACAGTGAGAGGGGTGGGCGGCAGGGGTGGGGGAGGCGTTGGTGGGAGGGAGTCCGCCAGTATGACTCAGCTGCCATCAAATCCAGGGCCTCTCCACTCCTCCTCTCTGTTCTTCTTCCTTTCTTTTTCCATTCTAGTCTGTGAGTTATCTTCCTTATCCTCTATGTGTTAAGACTTCCCCTTGAAAGCTCATCTACCTCCCTGGTCAGCTCTGACACAGAATTATTGTGTCCCGGGTGACCTTTCTTTAAATCCCCATTCAGGCCAGGTGCGGTGTCTCATGCATATCATCCCAGCACTTTGGGAGGCCGAGGTGAGAGGATTGCCTGAGCCCACAGGTTCGAGACCAGCCTGGGC